ACAGAGTAAAACGGTAGGTGTCCCCACACGTCCAGTGATGCCACCAAGCGTCAGGCACACATCTCTGAAACTTTCCCACAGTGGTTCGATGTGAAGCTCAGTGGACAACTTTGGATGCCAGCCCCCCTGCTTTCCACCTTGTTCATCTCTGAATATGCCAGGCTAGCTGGCCCGTGAGGATCCTGGCTCTATCTCTGTCTCCCATCTCCCCACCTGAACCTTAGGATTATAGACATGTGCACCTGACCCAGCTTTACCTGGGTTCTGGGTTGTACCACTTTTGTTTTGTTTTGTCAGCTCTAAACAATGTGGAATCATCTAAGAAGAGGAATCTCAATTGAGAAAATGCCTCCATCAGATTTCACAAAAATGTCCGTGGGGACATTTTTCTTAACTAATGATTGGTGTGGCAGGGTCCAGACACCAGTGTCACCCCTGCATAAGTGGTCCTGGATGATATAAGGAAGCAGCCTGAGTAAGCTATGAGGAGAAACAAGCCAGTAAGCAGAGTCCTCTATGTATGGTCTGTCAGGTCCTGTCTCTGGGTTTCTGCCCTGATGTTCCCCAGTGATAGAGGGTGACCTGAGCATTGATTGAACCCTTTTTCCCCCGAGTTGCCTTTGGCTATGGTGTTTATCACAGCAATAGTAACCCTAAGACATGGGCATTTACCCCCTGAGCCATCCTCCTCATTCCAGCCTTGGGCTTCTTCTTCGCAAAATGGGGCCTATTCCAAACCTGCCTTGTACTGAATGATTGTAATAAGAACAAAGCTGTGTGGGAGTTTCACTGTTCAAATGTTCCTCGTGGCGTTCAGCTGCCCGCTCCAGTCACCACAGGTGTTAAGGTATTCTTTGATGTCATTGCCCTGAGCCCAAGTCTATAGGATGCAGACAACCCAGGGAAGTGATGGTGGGCATGGAACAAAATAAGGCTTCCCAGGGTGGAACTCGCCTCTTGCTTCCTCAGAGCTGCATCTCGCTTCACACTGACTTTAACCACTCAGAGTGGGACTGATGCACCCCCTGACATTAGCACCCTTGGGGCATGGCTGTCAGGAATCCTAGCAGTGTACCCCGCTAAGGGCAGCAGTTCTCAGGTTGGCTCCCAAAGGAAACATGGTAAGGTAACATCACCTCATGCTGAGGCACTTTAGTTCATGCACGTGTACAAATGCACTGCCTTGTGTGTACTGCACATGGGAAGGGGATACCAGAGTTAAGAGAAAAGGTGCTGTTGGCATGGACAGTGGCTTCCTAGCCTTGTCTAGAGTGGTTCAGAGCTTGTGCCTGGGGCCCATGCTGCTAAGGTGGAAAAGTGTGGAGGCTCCTGCCCTTCTGCATTGTCACTGTCTTCTGCCTGCTATTCCGTGAAGCCCACCTGGCCTTCAGGTCTTCAGGAGGCTGTATAAATAGCACCACCATTGAGCAGCTCTACAGGGCTTAGGCAAAGCTTGGCCTCCATCATGCAGAATCCCTTTGCAGGGATTCTGCCAGGAGTCAGAGGGAGGGGCAAGGAAGTGAGACAGGCACAGAGAATAAACACAGGCTTCAGGACCCTAGAACTGGCCACAGCTTAGCGACAAATACAGCTACCACCCAAATACGTGACTGTCTCCCCAGAAGTCATGGAAGCTGTACCACATTTCAGAACCCCAGTTAGGACAGGGAGAGACAAACCCTTCAATCTGTGAGCACCTTTTCATTTCCTACCTCTTCATTGGTAAGAACATTGATTCAACCCTCACCCCCAACACTCTTCTGGGAATGTTACTAGGCCCTTTGCACAGCAGACAGTATATAGGCCTGGTGGGCCAGGGTAGCACTTATTTTAAGTGTCATTTCCTGAAATCAATGCATTTCCGCAGAGATGTCAAGGTGAGGCTGGAGGGACCAGCATTCCCAGAAAGCAGACCTTTGTTCCCCAGAGGGCGAGTGCAGGCCAGAGGTCTGCCCATGAGAATCCCGGCTCTGTCAGAGAGGCTGGGTTCTCTCTGACTAGGCTAAACTGTTGGAGGGTCAGTTCTAAGCTCAGGTGGGTTTCTGTCAGAACCCAGTACCTGGTGACCAGACACCCGACAGCTTCTGTTCTTGCAGGAGACCAGCCTCAGCAACTTGAGGTCACCTGCAGATCATTGATGTGTGATGTTCCCCAAAGGCCCAGAAGATTGTCTCCTCAAAGTCAGCTGAGGAGAAGTTAGACATCATTTGGTATTGGTTGTCACTCAGTTACATATGCCTGTCACATTTGCTTACTTCTCTCGCCTAGAAGTCCACACTCTATGAATGGAGCATATCCGGCAGTGAATGTCCCTGGGGAAGGTTATGCGGCCATCATACATGGCTGCCACCAGGCTTGGCCTATAATCCCAGATACTTAGGAGGCTGAGATAGGATCAAAAGTTCAAGGTTTGCTTGGACTGTGGGCTGAATTCAAAGACAGCCTGGGTAACTTGGTAAAACTGTGCCTCAAAATAAAGAGGACTATAGCTCAATAGTAGAGTATTTGCTGACAAGTGTGAAGCTCTAGCTTCATTCCCTAATTGCGCATGCGCGCGCACACACACACACACACACACACACACACACAGTCACACATACTCACAGAACACACTCAGTTACACACAAAACACACATTTATACACACACTCAGCCACACTCTCTCATACACAGTTTCTCTTACACAGTGAAACTACCCTATCTTTGAATCAAGATGCATTTTTTAAAATATTTGCATGAGAGGTGCCAAGTCCACCTTATATCACTGTCTGAGCTCTAGTCCCTGTTTGTGGAGTGGCCTGAGTCCCTTCTCCCCATTGGCTTGTTCTTCATAAAGTAGAGAAATGAGCTTAGTCAACAGTGCAGGACTCAGAGTATCCTGCAGTTGTTGGTGCTGAAAAATCGTTCCAACTTTAAAAGGCACAGCCTTCAGCTTGGCTGTGTGCAAACCAGAACATTTAGTTACTTGGAAAATCACCGTCCCTAAAGTACCCAGGGACTTTGAGCCTGGTTGGAAAAGAGCAAAACAGGGTCCCCACCTCCTGTGGCCACAGTTCCAGGTCTGACTAGGGGACGAGGGAGCCTGTCAAGGGCAGGGGGAGCTGTTTCCTCTAGCCCTCATCTGGCCTTTGTTCCTCAGTCTTTTCTTTCCCTCTTCTGCCTGTCTGGCCTCACGTGGACTCAGCCAGTGTGTCAAGAGGTAATTGACTGACTGCCCAGCCCAGGGCAGGCTCTGCTGAGCCCATCAGGGCAGGGACAATGAGGGGCCAGCTCAGAGGCAGAAGGCTATTTCTGAGACTCACGGCTGATGAACTTTGATTAATTTTAAGGCTGTCACCTTATAGTCAGGGTGCCCCTTCCAAAGAGCACAAAGCCCTCTGCAGCATCAAAGGGACCTCAGAGGGTCTGCACTCCAGACCAAGAGGTGCGCAGGACATTTCTGCCTGTGTCTTTGTTCTGTGCCGTCTGTCAAGGCCTGATCGCAGCCTCACTGCCCCAGGACCTCTCCTGGATCCCATGCAGTTTGCACGCTCTCCACTTTCTCCCACCTCCTCCCTGGAACTCCTTGAGACTCATCTCTCTTCTGGTTTGCCAAACAGCAGCAACTGTAAAAACCTAGCAGGAATTCTCACAGCTCTTTGGGTTTGGAGTTGTGAAAAAGCCTTCACACTCCTTCTGTTACTCCCAGTGGGACACACTGATTTCCTGGGGGGTGGGGAGGAGCAGAAGTACATCTTGGTCTCCTTGATGCTACAGAATAAGGGCTTTATGCACGCACATACAAACACACACTCATGCGTGCTGGCTGTTTGTTGCACTCGGCCCCTGTGATCTGTTTCTTTGGTTTTGGGTTGCATTTCTTCAGCACTCCAGAGTGGAATACTCAGATGCTACTCTCTGTTTGCTGAGAGTTAAATGTGTAATCCAGTTAAATCCCTCCTGCTTGTTATACACCTGAATGCTTACTTAGTAAGCCCTTACTACAGCTCGAAGCTCATTTGGGCTTCATGACCAAAGCAAGGCATTCAGCCGTTGGCCAGCTTTCCTCCCTTCTTCATTCCCTCCCTCCCTCTTTCTTTTTCTTCATTCTTTCCGCTCTCCCTCCTTCCCTTCCTTCTTCTATTTCTTTCCCTCCCTCCTTCCCTCTCTTCCTTCATTTTTTCCTTCTTTCCTTTCTCCCATTCTCCTTCCCTCTCTTTCTTTATTTCCTTCCCTCTCTCCATCTTTTCTTCCTTTTTCTCCTTCTCCCTCCCTTCCTCCATAATCCACCTCCTTCTTCTCACTCTGTAGTACTGGGGGATAGAAGGCAGGGTCATCCCATGAAGGCCATGGAGCCTCCCTTCTGCCTCCCTGCCACAGTTTGCTATGGTTGTTTTAAAAGATGAGTATGCCTAGAGATAGTGCCAACATGATCAAGTATCTTTTAATGAGTGGGCAATTGTTGGGGTATTAAGAGCTGCATCCAGTTTGTACTAGGCCAGTCTGTAACCCTGAGTTCCAGCCTGGTGTGTCTGGGAAGGTCCCTCATCCTGCTGGGGGACCTCATCTCCACCTCCATGCCTTATCGAAGAGATGTTTACCTTTGTGGTTTTGACCTGCAGTAGCTTTGTGGGAGCTGAGTTTCCCATAAACTCAAGGTGTGGAAATGTCTAAATGGTGTATTCTGTCAAAGGGCCAACAAGTTTAATAGGATGGGACTTCCCATTTTAGATATATATTGAGCTTCACTCCCATTATCCAGTGTGTGGCTAGGGCAAGTGGAGCACTGGGAGTGTGGGCTTCCCAAGAGCAGAGGACAATGTCAGAGTGTAGCACAGCTGTCATTGGCTGCTGTTGGTTGAATGACTGAGTGAGTGTTAGGCTGGAAATAGGGGTGGGATCACATGGAGTTGGGTGGACTTACCCATGGCTACTAGGTATTTGGGGACAGTGAAAGCAGCTTTCCTCCAAAGCCCTCTCACCCTTGAGTGACAAGCAACCTCCTCCCTTGTGTGTTTCTAGAACTACTTTGAGAGCTACCTGGCGGTTGCCTCCACTGTCCCCTCTTTGCTGTGCCTTGTGGCCAACTTCCTGCTTGTCAACAGGTAGGTCACCATCCTCCCTTGCCTGACCTTCACCCTTGCCTCCTCTATTCTCCCCCAGTCTCTAGCAGGAGTTTTCTGCTTAAATGTTGGTTCCCCTAACTGAAGTCAGGCAGTTCAGCCTTGCCTTGCAGTTGCAGTTCATAGGTTGGACAGGTGCCTGGGCACTCCAGTCAGAGGTCAGTGCTCATTATTTATGGCCACTTACAGTGACAGTCAGGTGATGGCCATCCCCTTTTGGGAGGCTGGTAGGGCTACAGACCTTGCAGCCGGGACACAGTGTGTGGAGCAAGCCCTGAGGGAGCTGTTCTTGCACATGTTCTGAGAACAGCCAGATGCTCACAGCACCCTCTGACTGTCCTACCTCAGGAAGCAGTCAGCTTGCCACTCTGTAATCGGTTGACATTACCAGCTGAAGGATGAATCCCCTACTCAGAGTGGCATCTCATAGGAAATGATTGGGAAAGGCTTCTGGGTAACACAATAGAGGAAGGAATTATTTGAGAGATAAGTAAGTTGGTATGGTTCATAGACTCCACTGGCTGCTCCTTCCTGTCCAGACTCAGTTTGGCTTGACAGTGGTAACAGTGCTAGTACCTCAATCTGCATTTTCCTGAAGCTGCCTGTAGACAATATCCATGGGCTCACTATGGCCCACAATCCTGGGCTTCACTTGGACATGGCTCATAGAAACCTTAGATCCCTGGTGGCAAATTTATTCAGCTCTGGTCACTTAGGAGTAAGTCCTGGGTCTCCAGGAGTTACTGCAAAGCACTCTAAGGCAGATCTGGTCTCAGCAAGGGTGCTGGGGTTGATTAGTAATGTCTGCTCTAGGACACAGGAGGAAAGAGCAGAATGTATGCTGTGTGCTAAACCTGTGTATAGAGCAGTCTTTCTAAACACATCATAGTACAGGGCACAGTAGCATAGTAGATCCCAAAGCACAATGGCTTGCAACCATAACAGTAATTAGTTTCTCTCACTTTCTGGGCTTCAGGGGTCAGCCAGGCTCAGCTGGAACATGCTGATGCAGTCAGGCAGCACTGGGGCAGGAGATGCTCGTCCTTTCCTTCCTCCCTGCCTCTCTCCCGACATTGGCTTGCTCACATGGGGTCAGAGACTGTTCTCATTTTGGTTGAAGAGTAAATGTTCCATAAGAACCAGGGACAAGCCCACATAGTGTCACTTTTGCCACATTCAACTGGTCAAGGCTGTCATAAAACCTGCTTCTCTTCAAGGGGATAGAGACCCCATTTCCCCATGGAGGGAGTGTCAAAGAACCAAAGTGTTTGAGAGTGAGGGATGAACTCAGCCTTGCCTAGGCCCCTAGGGCTACCTACAGAGGCCTCCCTCCCAGATACCTAGTCTTCAGACATCCACCCTTTGGGGGTACAAATGATATGGGAAAATTTGGAGGTGTCTTTGAGTTCAACAGAGCCTTTCTGCATTCTTGGTGAGTGCAGGTGGAGGTAGGGCAGGAAAAGGCCACAGAAAACTCAAAGGCCACCCTTAAGGCCACCCGAGCCAGTCGCTTTTGGGTTCTTGTGTTGCTAATAAGGTGAAATTTACACACCACAGAGGATATATTTTAGAAAGTTACAGATAAGTGAACAGTAGCTTTGGGAAGAAGACAGAGTGTTGGTTCAGCAGGAGGAATCACAGGAAATAGGGATTATGGAAGTTGCTGGTGTGGGATCCTATGAAGGACTTCCGGGGAATGGAATGAAATGATCTGTCCAGCTGGTTCATCCAAGATGTATTCCTGTATCTCTTCTTTGTTTCAGTCGAATCTTCAAGTGTAGCTTCTGCTCAAGGCTAAGAGATAACAAGGGACCAAGAACCAAGCATTCCTAGCATTCCTGACCTCCAGCAAGGACCCCTGCCCTGCCTGACCAGGGTCTAGCTCTTGTTCTCAAGGCCAAGAGCTGACTTGGATGTGCCCTCAGCACTGTCAGCCACTGAAGATAGAATAGTTCTTCACAGTGTCCAGAGGAGAGGAAGGGTGCCAGAAGAAGGCAAGAAAGACAAGAACACTTGCTGTGGCAGGCAGGCCCGTCCCACCCACCCTGTGCACTTCCAGGCCTTGTGACTTTTCTGTATTCAATTGCTCTGTGGCCTTGTCATTTGCCTAGCTGGGACAGCTAATTTACCTGTGGACTTGAATTCCTATTTCCTTTAGATCCAAGCCACCACCTGACAAGGGGGTAATATATATCTATTACCCCTTCACTGCATCTCTCTGTGTGTGCAGTGACTTAAGAGGTTTAGAGTGACATCTTATTTTTTCTGGTCACAGATATGCCACAGTGGAGCTACGTGTCTTTATGTTTTTCTCAGTGGCCATGGAACCAGAAACTGGCCAAGTTCTGAGGTCAGCAGGAGCAGTGAAAGTCCCTCTTAGGACCTTGGAGTATATGATCTCTAGTTGCAATATCCAGTCAACCAATCAGTGGCCTTGCTTAAAGGACCCCCCACACACACCTCACATGACCACCACAGGTCCCTTGGCCCCTGAGACTAGAGTGAGGATTTATTTCTAGAGGAATCAGCTCATCTGTGTGCACTTGAAACCTGGGCTATCAGTAGGCCCTTAGGGCCTAGCTTTGTAGCCCCTTGGGTCAGGCCTCAGGCTGCTAAGCAGTGGGAGGGTCATTAGGAGAAGGCTGGGCAGGGTAGTAGTTTCACAGGTTCCCTAGCCCAGGCTATAGGCAATGTTTGAGGGCCGTGGGGAAAACAGTGCTCCAACCTCTATGTTGCCAGCTGCCAAGGACAGTTTAGGGCAAAGCTGTTTTTTTATTTAATGTGGAAGATTGAAATGTCTTTTTCCCTCCCTCCTGGAGCACCCTGGCTTCTCTGACTGGCTCATCCATAATCGCCAAGTGTTTTATTATGTTAAATTCTAGCTTTATAAATACAGATGAGCCAGATTTACATTTTGGAGACTTGGGAAGAAATCAGTCCCCTGGGGTCCTGGACCCTCGTAGCAAGGGAGTGAAACAGGGATGGGCTGCTCTCCTCCCACATCATCAGGGTGGTATAGATTCTTAGCTTGCCTGTTACTAGAGTAGAACACCTTGCAAACCAGCACTTGCCTTAACTTCCCTATACTCCCAGGAGCTTCCATCACAAGCCATGCTTCCTGCAGCGGGGAGAGCAGTATGCCCCACAGTGTCTGTAGGGCTGGCCTTCAACATCATGGAATTCAGCCTCAGAACACTGAGAATAGCTCCCATGGGGTTTCTGAGGGCCTGGGGCTCTGCTGGAGGGTGCTTAGGTATCAAGGAGAAAACAGGTAGGAAGGAGCCCTGGGCAGGTGAAGGAGAGTCACAAGCAGTACAATGGGTGCCTTTCCTGCCCCCTCCTCCAAGGAAGAAGCCAATTCCTGCCAAAGCCCCAGGTACCCCACAGGACCTCATCACCATAACTGCAAGGAAATGGCTAGAAGTTGAGGAAGGCATGCAGTTACACCTCCTCCTTCCTTGGTCAGTCTCTTCCTTCAGCAGTCCTCATCAGGAAACCATGGTGTTTGTCCCTAGGTGTTGCCAAGTGGATTTCTTCAGTAGGACCTTCATATCACCTAGGCCATTTTGGAGATGAGGAGGAAAGGTGCAGAAAGAGTGACTGTTTATCTGAGGTCACACAGCAAGTTCTTGACAAAGCCAGGCACTGTGTCCCTGTCTCCTATCTTGTGGATGGATAAATGGCTTCTCATGCCATGAAGGTGGGGTTCTCTGGGACAGATAAGTGTATAGGGTCACCTTGAACATCAAGCCTGAGGCTTAGCTACAAGCCTTCTGGGTACTTCGGGGTTCATTTATCATAATAGCTCTTGTTGGCTCCTGGGGTCCAACCAGTTCACCTGTCATCCCTCTAGCCCTACCTTGCCTAAAGCCTCTGCAGAGTCTAAGAAGAGGCACTCCAGTGTGGCATTCTAGTGGTTCTTGAGGCTTGTGGTTTCTCAGAAGCAGGCCCCCAAACACGGAAAGTTCAAGAGCATGTAGTACATTTGGGGGTGAATGTGGAAAGAGCAAGAAAGAAGCCAGGAGAGGAGGTTTTGTCACCCCGTCCCACAGAGAGCCACCCCCAGAGAGGGAGCTAGGATGAGTATCCACCAATCCAACAGGCATTGGCTGTAGGCTGCTGTTGGGAAATGTCAGTGGTCCAGCCAAACCCTGGGCCACAGTCTGGAGTCAGAGGCATTGTTACCTTGCCTGGAACCCCGATGTCTCTGTGTTAGTGGATACACTCACTCAATCTTGTCTCTTCCAAGGACATGCACGTTCTTTTCCTTAAGGCCCCTCAGCTGTGCCTGGAAATGCCAGCCCTCCTGCCAGAGTACCTTGTACTGGGGTGCACCACGTCCTGTCACTCTGTCCTATACACCTTTGCTCCAGAAATACAGCCGGTGCCCAGTGCCTGTGTGTAAGACAGTCACCTCATCAGGACACAGGGTCACAGAAGAGCCTGGGCTGGGGCTAAGCTCTCCCAGCTTCAATCCCAGCGTCCAGGGACTCCCTCTGTGTCCTTCCTTCCCTTTACAAAGGCGAGGCAGCCCCACTCTCCCCCCAACCCTGAACTCCCTCTCAAGATCCAGAAGTAGCATCAGCCAGGGGCAGGAGCTCCTTGTAATAACACTTTCTTCTCTCCATGCAAATTGCTTCACACCCGGCTGTGTACACAGACCTGTCTTTTTCTACCTTCAGTGTTGTTTTAATCCAGAAAACATCTCTGTATCTACTCTGGCTTTCTCTCCGCCCCCACTTTCTCTCTGGTTAATAGGAAACAGAACTGAACATCCGAATAGGCTTAAAGGATATTCTAATCTGATGGTTTGAACAGCCTTGGGTTGCTGCTCTCTCTGTTAGGGTGGAGAGATGCGCAACCATCCCTGATGGCCCCTATCACTGCCCTTCTCCCTGGTCAGTGGGGTGAGGAGGTGCAGGGTAGTATTTTAATGGAATGCATGGGGTCCTGGAACTGGACCATCAGGGTGTGGTCTCAGCAGCTGCCATCCTAGCTAAGATAACTCTCTGAGAGCTCCTGGGCTCATAGCTGAGTGACCTTAACCTTTCTGAGCCCAGCTTCCTTATCTATGAACAGGGATTGAGGGCATCTCATAGTCACAGAGGGAGCTGAGCGAGGTCGATTGTAGGAAATGTTAGAATCTCACAGGGCTGGGGTGGGAGGTGAGCCAGGCTCGGAGTGTGGAGAACATTAGAATCTCACAGAGCAGATCAAGGTAGACTGTTGAGAACAATTGGAGGAAAATTGGGTACACACCAAGTTCTGTGACATCAATGATGGTGATCCTCTTCCCTCCCCCACCTGCCAAATTTGGAGAAGGAAGCTGGGTTGGTTGTGCAGTTCAGACACTAAATACATCCCACAGGAGGGCAGTAATGTAGCTTGTGAGGTCTTGTCTGGTGTCCTGGCCTCGAGCCTCACAAGTTGGTGATAGCGGCAGTGTCTACTGACCCTGCACAGGGTTCTGCTCTTTGTGCTCTGTAAAGGTCCCTAGAGCCTCTACCTTCCCCCATGGGTAGATAGACACTCCTTGTGCAGTATCTAGGCCCCAAGTCTCTTTTTAGATGTCATAGGGCAGGCAGATTTCAAGGCAACGCTTCACAGTGTCAGTGAACAGTCCCCATGGCTCACCAGCATGACCCATGTGGAGGCCTGAGGGGAGTCTAACCCCCTCCCATACTGCTTCTGGTCCTCTCCCCAGAATCCAGGTGCATGTGCGTGTTTTGGCCTCACTGTCTGTCTCACTGGCCATCTTCGTGGTTATGATTGCGCTGGTGAAGGTGGATACTTCTTCTTGGACCCAAGGCTTCTTCAGTGTTACCATCGTGTGTATGGCCATCGTGAGCGGCTCCTCCACCATCTTCAATAGCAGCGTGTACGGCCTGACAGGCTTGTTCCCCATGAGGAATGCCCAGGCATTGATATCAGGTGAGATCCCACCGTGATTGGGGGCCACAGTGGTCTTTCCAGAAAAGGAAACATGTCCTGGGTCCACTTTAGTTTCCTAGTTTCCTAGTTTTCCAAGCAAAACACCCCAGACTTGGTAGCTGAGAGCTATTCATTTTGCTAAATCTGCAGCTTGGACAGCAGATCAAAGCAAACAAAGAGAGAAAAAAAAAAAAAAAAAACAAAAAACAAAACCAAAAAGCCAAAAAGCTGGCTTTCCACTGCTCCACTCAGTGTTCACAGGGGTGGATTGATTGAGGCCTCAGGCCTTGGTGGCATTGTATGTGGACCTCACCGTAGTTGCCGGGGTTATCTTGTGGCCTAGGCCTAGGCTATGCACAGAGCGAGCATCGGGGAAGACCCAGGCAGCACTTCATTTTGATGTGGCTATGGGGAACAACTTTCACAGCCCTTAGCTCACCTAGATGCCAGATGAGTCTCTGTGGCTCCATGGACGGTGATAGAAGTCTTGGCAGCAGAATGGGTAGGTGGGAGGTCAGATCAGAGCCTTGATGGAAGTACCCTCTGCCTTCACAGTGTCATTTCTGAGACCAGCCTTCCTTCCTTTCCTTCCTTCCCATCTTGCCTCCTGCCTACTTGTCCCTTTTTCTTTCCTTTAGTGCTTCCTTTCCCTCCCCCCTCTTTTTCCTCCCCCGCCTCTTTTCTGTCTTTCTTTCCTTTCCAGTTTTATGAAGGCTCCACCCTGTGCCAGGGGAGGAAAGATGAACCACACTGTGTCCTATTAGAGTCAATAGCCTAGTGCCTAAGCTGCTGGTGCCCCCACACTGTGCCATGCCGTGACTTGCTCGGACTCTGACTCCCAGGGGCATCTCTCTAGCTGAAGTCTGAAATCGGATGCTAAGCCTGTTATGGGGACCTTGGCTGTTTTTTCTCTCACCCAGATGGCACCACAAGGTAAACAGAGCTGGGTCCGTTAGCATCTGCTTTATGTGGAAGACCACTGTCCCCTAAAGCAAGCCTGGAGGCTGCTCTTCTTTGTGTTTCCATGTATCTCTGGTGTCTATCTGAGAAGAGCTGCACAGAGTGCAGGACTGTGCCCATTAGTTAGTATGCCAGGTAGGATGTGGCAGGGATGACAAGTACCTTGACAAGCGCATATCCCCTCCCCGCTCCGTACCGGTGCCAGACATCACTAATAGATCCCTATCTTTCCTCCTGAGCCTCTAATTCCCTCTCAAGCCAGCACTTGAGGCAATTACTCTCTGCGGATCAGAGTCTAGATATGAGCTCCGTCTCTGCCATTTTTGATATAGGATTAGGCTTTGCCTCTCTCCCAGGAAACCCTTGGGCCTAAAATAAAATAGAAATGAACTTGTCATTGAGTTTTCTGAGTACAGTCACCATGCTCCTGGCATTGCTTCAAGAAAGGCAGGTCTGGGCTGAGAGGAATGGCCATCAAACACTAATCCCTCCGTCACTACTGGCCTCAGAAAGACTCTCTTATCCCCTCATCTCCCCCTCCCCATCTTGTTGATGCTTTTCAACACATCTTTAGCCCTGCCGAATACCTGCATGAGGGGCAAGTGGCCCCTCTTGTCCACCTGTAGATCTCTAGAGAAGAGTGTCTCCTGGGAATTTTCTTTTGAAAGTCTACTTTTGGAAAAGTTGGGGAGCCAGGTATGTGTCTGGGGGAGCACACACACACCTATAACCCCAGTACTTCACAGACTGAGACAGGAAGAATGTGAGCATTGGGTCAGGTTGGGCTACATAGCGAGACCCTGTCTCAAAGAATAAAAAGAGTAGGTGAAATTGGGACTTAGATGTCAGCTCTGGAGGGTAACATGTGTGGCCTTCATTGGTGCCAGGCCAACACTCTGGGCTAGCTGAAGTGCCTCAGTTCCCAGTGGCCCCAGCCTTCTTTGCTTTTTTTTGTTGTTGTTGTTCAGAGGAGCCCATCTGTGAATTCTGTGCATGTTGGCATCTGAGGAACAATTCATTTGTTTTGTGCTGGTGTTTTTTTTTTTTTTTCAAAGCCCTCATTTACATGTATTTCCATAACTGATGAGATAGTGGGAGTCATGAAGGATGAGCTCCCGGAGGCCCGGTTTGTGGCTGCCGATAATATTGTAGATTCAAGTTGGAAGGGAGAGGGGATCAGTGGGCAGGACTGTTAAGATCTCTTCCTCCGGCGGCCACCGGGATCGGCTCTCTGAGCTAACCCTACTTCTTTCAGAGCACCCAGGTGGGGATTAAGGCTTCTCAGAAGTAGGCACCCCTCTGGCACCCCCCTCTATTGCTGCTGCTTTGATGTGGGAAATATGGAAGTAGCCAAATAGCTAATTGGGAATCTCAAGATTTATTCAACACTCAGCTCCTGTCTGTGTCAGACTCTGTTTAACATGTAATAATCCTTTTAATCCTTATAGCAGTCCTAAGGGGTGGGCACTCCCTCTTACAGATGAGCAAGCTAAGGACAAGAGAGGTCAAGAGGCTTGTCAGGGATCACACAGCCTGAAGTGGTAGAATAGGGATTGTATTCTGATTCAAGCATGAGTCCCTTGGATCATACTTGCTCTCGAGTGGTAGCTTCCAGCCCCTTTCAGGCTGGTAGAACCTATTTGGGAGAAGTTGGGAGAATTGTCTGTTGGGGCCAAAGGCAACTCCTGCAGTGTGGGAGAGGCAGCAAGGTGGATAGAAACACTTGCCCCCTGTCCAAAGCTCTGTAAATCAGGCTAGAGGGGGTTCTATACAACTCTCCCGGCTCCCCACTCCAGCTACATCCACCCCCAGCTCCAATCTCCAACCTCCTGCCCAGCTTCAGATACTGTGAGGTGAGCACCAAGGTGTTTTCAGTGCTGGTGGGTAGGGGGTTGGCTTCTGGGTCCCTGTGCCTTCCTGAGCCCATTGTGATGTCCTTGTGGCATTCCCTTGCTCTCTACAGGAGGAGCCATGGGAGGGACAGTCAGTGCTGTGGCCTCGCTGGTGGACCTGGCAGCATCCAGTGACGTGCGGGACAGCGCCCTAGCCTTCTTCCTCACAGCAGCAGTCTTCCTTGGGCTCTGTGTGGGGCTCTTCCTACTGCTGCCCCAGCTGGAGTATGCCAGGTGAGGTTCCCCTGCTCTGCCCTCCTCATCTGGTGGTCATCTGATTGGATTGTAGGGCCCTGATTGGCTTGCCCGTCCCCAGGACTGTGAGGGCTGAAGTGCACAGGGATTTTGTTGGATGAGGAGCATCCCTCAGTTGATCATTAAGTTGATCTTGGGTGGGAAAAGCTGGCTCTGACTACACCTCTAAACTGGTATTGCCTGCAAGCTCCAGGTCAGGAAAGACTGTGCAGTGGAAGTGGAATTGAGCCTGGAAAATAAGGCATAATGGTTCCCAAGCACTGAACGCACCCACTGTCATTCCCTGCACCGGCAGGAGGCGCAACCTAGCTGAGTTGGTCTGTCTCATTTATACCCACACACTCTTGTTTCTCCTAAGGTCATAATTATTAGTTAATATTCCTATGTGCACGTTAGGAAACCAGGGATCAGAGCTGTCAGCGAGCCAGGAGGTAGCAGGACCAGTGTGGACAGGTCTCTACACTCTACTTTCAGTTCACTGCCTGTGGGACTCCTGGTCTCTCTCAAGTTCCACTCATGTCGTTTGTACTTTCTACTGCTCTTTAAGAACTGAAAATGGGGCTGAGGATGTAACGAAGTTTGTAGAGTACTTGCCTTGAATGCGTGAAACCATGGGTTCTTGGACTTTCTATTGGTAGTTTCATTGTTGGACTAGCAGGACCACAGCCTGTAAACCATTGTGGTGTTTTGAGTAAGAATGGCTCCCCTACACTCAACAGGGCATGGCACTCTGTGAGAATTAGAAGGTGTGGCCTTGTTGGAGTAGGTGTGGCTTTCTTGGAGGAAGGATGTCAGTAGGGGTAGGCTTTGAGGTTTGAAAAACCCAAGTCAGACCCAGTGTTTTTCTCTTCCTGCTGCCTCTGGATCGGGATATTGAACTCTCAGCTCCTTCTCCAGCACCATGTCTGCCTGCATGCTACCATGCTTTCCACCATGCTGATAACAGACTAAACCTCTGAGACTGTAAGGCAGCCCCAATTAAATACTTTCTTTAAGAGTTCCCTAGTCATGGTGTCTCTTCACAGCAATAGAAGAGCTAAGACAGTCATTGTAATAAATCCCTATTCTATGTGTACGTGTGTGTGTGTGTGTGTGTGTGTGTGTGTGTGTGTGTGTGTGTGTATGTACCATGGTGCGTGTGCACCAGTATGGGTTCCAGGTATTGAACTCATGTTATCAGGAATGGCAGCAAGCACCTGCTTGAGCCATCCCCAAAATTTAAAAGTACAAACCTTTGAATCCATTGATCTGTTCTTGTTCGCTTGGGTGTGCATGTAGATTACATGCTGCCCTGGGACAGTAGTCCAGAAAGGCTGGGGAACCTGCATGTCATCTGTAGGGGAACATTCAACATGCATGTCAAATTGTGATGTAGTGACAGAGTGGAAGGACTGAGTCATGTGTATGACAGAAGGCCACAAGTTAATGTTGTTCAGATTGTGATGGGAATGCATTTTTGAATGCTAGGATGCATGACCTAGGGTGTTGTGTGTGTTATTTGTAAAATATGTTTTGGCATTTTGACCATACTGCAGGCCTGAGCCACCACACTCTGCTTACCTTTTACATTCCTGAATGTCTTTGCCAAAACCTCCCTTTCCAACACAAAATAAAACATGGCCAAGGCCTTTCCTCTGTGCAGTGATCAGGATCAGGGTGGTTTCCTGCCCCTGCTCATGGTATGGTCACCACCTTTGATCCAGGAACTGGAGTCCAGCCTGGCAAGCTGGCCAGGAATAACACAGGCCACGCCTCCAACAACCTACCCCTTCATGTCATGTTGTGGGATCCTGGGCCAAGAGGTTCCCAGGGCTTGGGCTTTCCCTGCTGGGATTCTGAGGGCTGTTCTGAATACCCACAGTTGTTATGAAGATTCTGGGGTCTACCCTTCTGTGTCCTGGAGTTCAGTTTCATAGTGACCCACTAAACATGTCACTATCCCTCTGCAGGTACTACATGAGGCCAGTTACCCCTGCTCACGTGTTTTCTGGTGAAGACAACCTATCACAGGACACTCCCAGCACCTCCTCAGTGGCTCCTGCATCCAGAGTGGTACACACGCCACCCCTCAGGCCCATTCTGAAGAAGACGGCTGGCCTTGGGTTCTGTACTGTTTTCCTTTACTTTGTCACTGCCCTCATCTTTCCTGCCATCTGCACCAACATCCAGTCCATACATAAGGGCACCGGCTCTCCATGGACCTCCAAGTTCTTTGTGCCACTCACTGTCTTCCTCCTTTTCAACTTTGCTGACCTCTGTGGCCGACAGGTCACAGCCTGGATCCAGGTGCCAGGTCCTAGGAGCAAGGCGCTCCCCGGATTGGCACTCTTGCGTGTCTGCCTCGTGCCCTTCTTTCTGCTCTGTAACTACCAGCCACGCTCACACCTGACTGTGGTGCTTTTTCAGTCTGACATCTACCCTGTGCTCTTCACCTGCCTCTTGGGGCTCAGCAATGGCTACCTCAGTACTCTGGTGCTCATCTATGGCCCCAAGATTGTACCCCGGGAGCTGGCTGAGGCCACCAGTGTAGTGATGACTTTCTATATTTCTGTGGGCTTGTTGCTGGGCTCAGCTTGTGCAGCCCTGCTTGAACACTTTATCTAGGAGGGGGAAGCAAGGATGTGGGTACTGTGTGAGGCTTGGGCCCTTGGGAGACGTGCAGGGTGAGCTGAGGTCTCCGATGCTGTGGGCTGGCCTTTCATTTGGTGCAGAGCTGAGCCCACTCAGGCTGCCTTTCTCTCAGACTGCTTGGGAGCCACATCCTAGCAACATTTTGTGCAGGGAGACATTCCAGACACAGCCCAGCATGGTGCCTCATACCTATAATCCCGGCATTTAAGAGGCTGAGCTGGAGGACTGCTGTGAATTTGAGGCCAGCCTGGCTGCATAGTAGAACCTTATCTCAAAAAATAAGCTAAAACAAAAACCCTGAGACATCCCAAACACTTCAAACACTCCAGAGCCCTTTGAAGGGTGTGGTTATTGGTGGGATATAGCTCGACTGATAGCTTACTTGTTCAGCATTCTTGAAGGCCTGGCTCCCATCCCCAGCACAACATAAACTGGACATGTTTAGTGAAAGCCTGTAGTCCTATCACTTGAGAGGTAGAAGCAGGAGGATCAGAAGTTCAAGGTCATCTTCAGTTACATAGGGAGTTTGAGGCCAATCTGGGCTACAAGAGACAGTGTCTCAAAAAAAAGAAAGTACAGTTGTAAAGATGGGAGTGGTAATATTACCTTTATAGCTAATAAATACCCTATGTCTAACTTGTGTTGTTACAAGGCCAGAGCCCAGCCTTTCTAACTGACAGCAAGGTGGGAGAGAATCTTCAGGGTTCCCTATTCTGAAAGAGGCTCCTGGATTTGAGATCCCCTCTCAAATGGCCAGTACTCAGATCAGGGCCCAAACATGTGCTGATCCTTCAGCTCTGTGGGTGGGAGGAGGCCAAACAGCTGAAAAGCTCCACAAGGCAGGCTTCCCAAGCCTTCCTACCTAAGGCCTGGGCTCCTGAAGTCTCCCTGTATCAGGAACTGGATGTGGTAGGCCTGGTCTTCAGATGAGGACCAGGTGTCCCAGTGACCCGGGACCTATTTAGCGCAGGGGGAAGTCGTTTCAACAGTCATATTTACAGCCTGTTGGAACACTTGGTTTTTTACTATGCAAGGGCATAGTAAATAATGGGGTTCTCAATGTGAACTTTGTTGGTGTTTCCATCAGTTGAGGTCTTAGCAAGAGGCAATATGTTAAGACTGGGTGATTTGGAGGGATGTAGGGACAGGTACAAGAGCCCCAAGGGCTTGGGGTGTGGTACCTTTCCTTGTTGCTGTAACAAAATACCTGACTAACACAGGTTAAGGAAGGAAAGGTTTCTTCTGGCTTACAGTCTAAGAGGGGTCACCGTCCTCAGTCACCGAGGTGGGAAAGGCACAGAAGTGAATGTGAAAGTGGCTGATCACAGTGTATACCCAGTTGAGGATCTCAGTCCATGGGACGGTGCTGTGCTGCCCACATGCACATGGGTCTTCTTCTCTCAGCTATACTTCTCTGGAAACATCCTAGCAGACAAGCAGGTTTCCATGGTGATTCTAAATCCGGTCTCATAGACAATGGAGATTAACCATCATACTGAATATGATTAACCATCATATTCAGAAACCGGTAAGACTGAGGCCCTTCCACGCTTAGCCCGAAGAGGGAGATCAGCAAGCCTTTCTAGAGTGTACACATGTGACCTTGTTTGGGGTGAGCAGGGGCAGCTCTAGACAGCAGTGACCTCAGGAGAGAGGCAGAGACTTCCTCCTCCACCCACTCACCCTCCATTTGCCACTGAGGATTGTACAGCCCCCAGGAAGGGAGGAAGCAGGTAAGCTGAGGGTGAGGTGTTGTTCAGCAGGGCTAGCTGTCCCCTCTGTGGTCATAGGTTTCCAGATGTCAGGGCAGTGCTGGCACTTGCTCTGCAATTTGGGGTGGCTTTGTTCTGCTTCCGTTCCCAACAGTTGTAATTGTAATTATTTCAGAAGCTCCATTGCCCCACCCAGTATGCCACGGCCCCTCATACTCCATATGTGCGGCGACACAGATACCAAGTTCACAGAGGCTTCTGAGAGATTATTCTTCTGGGAGAAGGACTAGCTTGGGGATTGAGAAACTTCTCCAGACCTTTCTCAGGATTCCTGCAGACAGAGGAGCCCAGCACATGGCTACCCTCTGAGCCGAGAGCTGGTGGAGGAGCATGGGCTGGAAGATCCTACAGATGCTGATTAAGTGAGAGGTGGTGTAATCTCTCCTGTGGCATCAGCTTATGCTCCCTACCCTCATCTGCTTCACACTCCCGCTCCAGCTGAAGGATGGGAGAAGACACCCTTGAGAGGTATTTTAAACTTGAACATAATAAAAACAAAACAAACAAACAAAAAGCAAAGGAAAAAAAATGTATTAGCAACCCCCAGTGTAATGCTGTAGATGGTCTCAGGTGTGTGACTAGGGGTGACTCATCCCAGCCTTGGGTGTGCTATGTGGGCACACATTTCTTTAATGTGTCTCATTAAAGAAAAACAGTTCTCTGTGTGTGTGTATGTGTGTGAGGCAGGGAGTGGTGGACTGCTCTCACATGCTCTGGTGAAGAGGGGAAGGGGTGGCTCTCCAGGACAAAAGCATCAGAATGGACTGGAAGGCGGTAGCAGCTATGACAGAGGGACAAATCTGAGCTCACCTGGGTTATAGAGAAGCGCCTGCTCAGCGGCAAGGTTATCTCCTTTTGACTCACCTGACTGGGTCTATTATCAAAGAGCCATCCCTCTCAGAAGGGAGCAGGAAAGGAAAGAACAGTTCCAGGCAGGGGCAGAGACAGGACTTCAGGCTGTGAGCAGCACATGGATTTAGCTTGCCCTGCTCCCAGTCTGGAGTCTTCTGAGCTCAGTGACCTTGTGGAGTGCAAGCAACTTGCTGTAGAAGGTGATTCTTCCTTCCTTTACAGCAAGTAGTAGATCCCCTGCCTTGAGCTGTAAGACTCAGGGAGGTTAAATGACCTTCCCAGGGTCACTCAGCTACTAAATAGCACAGATAGAAATCACACCTAGTTCTTCCTAGACTCATGAAGTTCTTACCCACCCTCCTTCCTTATTCTGGTTCAGCCTCAAGTTTCCCTGTGGTTCTGGTTTTGTGTTACTATGAAGCTCAGCTTAGTTTCAGGGTCAAGATTCTTCTGCCTCAGCTTCCTGATCACGAGGCTTAACTGCCTGTTTCACCATGCCTGCCTTTTTCTCCTCAGTTCTTTATGTCTGCTGCTCTTTTCTGTTTCCTGCCATCTGCATGGATTCCTGCTCAGAATCCTGGCCTGGTGCTGGTTAAATTAAACTGAGAGGTGAGCTGGGTTAGAGCCCTGCTGGCCAGGGCCACATCAATCCTGCTTCAGCCCAGAGCACAACCTCTTTACTTCTTACTAGGCAAAGGATCTGGGATTGCTATGGCCCTGCTCCTTCTGCTCCCATTGCCCTTCCTCCCCCTATACCAGCTATGGCATGACTCCAGCATGGGCAGTGGGGCATGGGACACAGTGTGGGTGTCAGTAAGTCTTACTCCCACTGGAATGCAAGTCAACCTTCCCATGTCTTGATTCCTTGTCTTTAAAGAAAGGACAGCAGTCAGTCCCAAGACCATGACAGTTCCTGCTTCCCACCCACACATGGTGGACACCCCAGCACACGCTACAGGCACTGTAGGCAGGTACACAGCCCTCTGCTCCCACTTCAGCCTCAGCCACGTGGTAGCTGTAAAAGTAGTCTTGACCTCAGATAGTGACGACAACATGGGCTGCCCTGACCTTGACTCCAAATGGTGGCAGAGATGATATGTTCTCAGCCCGTGGCAAACTTGGTTTTCTTCCACTTCTTGCTGCTTGGTCAGCTTGTTGCAATGTCCAGCAACTTCCCTCTGATTGACCAGCCCGGTGCTCAGTACTCACCCTTGCCTTGCTCCAGGCCTTGCTAGCAGCTATCTATGCAAATACCTGCAACTCTAGGTCTACCTCCCAGACACACCCGGCCCTGAGTCAGGAGAGCTGGGGATGGAGAGGGAAGACACAGGAGCCGAGTTGCTGCTCACTCTGACCCTCAGACAAGCTACCTCATTCATGATGCTAAAGCCTAAGCTAGAGAAATGGTTGCCCCCACCAAGAGCACAGATATCCTTAAAAAGAAACCAAACCAAACAACAACAAACAGGTGTCCCAGCTAGGTCAAGAGCTTGAGCCATTGTCCAGCCCACTGGTGTGGATTTGCACTCTCTCCTCTTCTGGCCACTTCAGTGTCCCCCTCCTGTTTCTTCATCTGTCACTGTGATTGGACACATTGACCTTGTGCACAGCCTCTTGCACAGCCATTGTGGGGCGATGGTCACACACAGGACATGTCAGAATAGCCCCTGGTATGTGCTGACTTATATATGGAAACCCTAACCCCATATTTAATGCTATCAGGAAGTTAGGGCTCTCAAAGATGATCTTACAATGATGGTTGAGTTCCCATGAATGGGGTCAGTGGCCTTAAGAAAGAAGTCCAAGAGAGCTCCCATCCCTTCCAATGAGAACCAAGTAAGAAGATGGTCATCAATGAAGTGGAGAGAAGACACCAGGATTAAACTTCTCATGCCTTGGAATCCCTGGCCTCTGGAACTATAAGACATATCTTTCTATTGTTTTGAAGCCACTAAGTCCATGCCATGGTTTTATCTTTTTTTTTTTTTTAATTTATGTATTATTTATACAGTATTCTGCCTGCCTGTGTAGACCAGAAGAGGGCACCAGATCTCATTATAGATGATTGTGAGCCACCAGGTGGTTACTGGGAATTGAACTCAGGGCCTCTGGAAGAGCAGAGTGCTCTTAACTGCTGAGCCATCTCCCCAGCTCCAGTTTGTTTGTTTTTTATGTGAGTAGGCAGAGACAGAAATCAGCACAGAGTGCTTTTATTTTGGGCTCTGGGTTGCTGAGGCATAGCACAAGGGCAAACAAGGACCCGAGGTCGATAACCCAAGCCTCCCCCAGCACATTTGTAATCCAAGCACAAAGGAGGCAGAAACAGGCAGGTCCTTAGGGTTCACAGGCCAACCAACCTAACCTACATGGCAAGTTCCAGGCCAGTGAATGACTTTGTCTCTCAAAAAGGACAGTGATGGTATCTGAGGAAGCTCTGGAGGTTGTGTTCTGGTCCATGTGCATACACGCTCACAGTACCCACACAAGTTTTATGCACATACACATATACACAGAAACCAGGCTTGGGGTAGAGGCAACAAGGGTTTTGTGAGACCTGGTAGAAAAGTCATATATTGCCACAAACACATCTTTAAAAGTCATTCTGGTGAGGGTTCAGGGGGGAAAAGAGAAGGGGGCTATGTTACAGGAGCCTGAATATTAGAGAATTCCCGTTTGATATTGAGGTAGTGATGAGTATCACAAAAGGCTAAAGCTCATGGCTGAGCTGGGAGCTCACTGCTGAGCAGTGAGGATGATGATGTGGCTCTGAGGTCTATGAGGCCCAGGGACTAGAATGTAGTGGTTTGAATGACAATGTCCCCCATAGGTTAAGATATTTAAATACTTGGTCCCCAATTAGTATTTCTGTTTGGGAATGTTTAGGAGGTACATCCTTGCTGGAGAAAGTATGCCACTGGAAGCAGAACATTCTAGAATCCTAGGCTTCATATGTCTTTCCTGCCTCATTCTAAGACCCACATCTAGGTCTTAATCTGGGATTCCTGGGTGGGATGAGGAACCTCTGTGGTTGTAGGCCACAGTGTGTTTGCCTCCCTTGGGGGTAGGAGTCAGGGTTTTCACCAGATCATAAAAGAGTCAGTGATGGAGGATGGTGTCAGTGCACCTGGGCTCCAAGCTTGAGTAGCCTATGCTATTATGTACATGGGATCCTGCTCAGGAATGACTTCTTGGGGGCTGGAGAGATGGCTCAGTGGATAAGAGCAGCTGGTACTTGACCTTGGACAAGCCTCTAGCTTTGGTTGCTTGTATGCCTGTTTCCATGACTTCCTGTGAAGATTGAACTGATCTACACGTGGCTGGTCACCCAGGCTAGGGGGTCACTTGCCTTCATCAGCACTGGTTCTACAAGGAGGAACAATGGAGACAAGACAGTAATCCAGGTCTAGAACCTTGGTGGGCAGGTGTCATCACAGGAGAGTGAGTCTGCTCTCTGTTCTCAGAGATAGGAGGATGCCCTGTACGAAAGCTAGAGGGTGAAGCAAATCTCAAGGTTTCAGTTCTGGTCAAACACTGAAAGCCGGCCACATTCTACACAATTCAGGAAGCAGCTCTGGCATAAGGCAGAAGCCATGCATCTGAAAGAGCCTGATAGGTGCCCCTGTGGCCTTCCGGTCACCTGTCTGGTGTGATGTCTGAGAAACAGGAATTGCCAATCATTGAGTCACACTCAGAGCAAGCATTAGCATAGAGACTTGAGAGGAGCCAAAGTGGAGACTGAGGCATGCATTTTTATGCATCAGAGGCAGCCGAGGTTGAAGGGGACCAGTTCGTGGCCAATTCTACAGCAGCAGGTCTCATGAGAATCCTCTGAAACACTTGCTAGGATGCAGAGGGCTTAATCCACCCTCAGGGCCCCGTCTCACAGCACAGGTGGGATGACAAGTTCCCAGGTGTCACTAGTGTTGCCTGTAGGAGGACCACCATACTCTGAAAGATGGATGAGGGGCTGTCAGGAGCTTGCCCCTGGCCCAGGAGGGAGCAAAGACTTCATCTGCTTCTGTTCTGGCTGGCTGAGGGCTCATCTGGAAAGTCCTTGAAAGAACCCATGCGCTGTGGGCTCAGTCAGCCTTCTGCAGACGCGCTCACGGACTCTGGGTTGGCCTCTGCCTTTCGAGTGCCACGTTTGTTCTGCCTCTCCATGTGCCCTGATCCACGGCTTTCCTCCTTCATTGCACCCTTCCACCTGTTCCCCGCTCACCTGAGGCCTGAGGAAGGGGAGTGAGGAAGGGAGGACTGAGGGGCAAGTCTAGTGCAGATCTGTGATCTCACTCCTGGCAGGCAATGCTGGAACCTGGGTGGGGTGCAGGGCCACCTCCTGCTGCGAGAGGGTCACACCTCCTACCTGCTCCCTGGGGCTCATTAGCTGCTGAGGTAAGGCTCAGTGTTTCTAGTTTTGCTGAGTCTTTTCTGAGACTCAAAAAGGGAAATGAGCCATTGCCACTCAGCAAACACTCTTTGAAACAGAAACTGAACCTTCTGCAGTTTCTAATAACATCCCATGAACGAAAATGCAGAAGTCTGGCCTCTCTTCTTCAAAGTCCCCTTTCTGAAAAGAGATGTCTGGAGCTAGCTTTCTGCTTACCACGCTCCCAGAGATGAAATGGAAAGGGTCAGGTGCCCCCAACTTCAGTGACTGGCCTCTTGGGCTGTGTGAGGAGGTAGGAAAAGTCTCAACTCCTTGTTTTGTTTTGTTTGTTGGTTTGTTTTGTTTTTCCCTCACACTTTATCCTATCGGGTAAAGGTCAGCAGCCACTGCAGTTCTGGAAATGTGGGCTGGCTTCGAACTGG